ACCAGAGCTGCTTTCAAACTCAAGTGGATGTCCCTTCAGTATGATTCAGCAAATCTCTTCTATTAAGAAATCCATTTAGATCAAAATTAAATTATCAAGCAAAGTACTCCATGGTGGAAATAGCATTTGTCCAGAGTAGATTTGAAAAAAAAAAGTTGTTCCCAAAGTTTCAAACTGACTTTAGATGTTCAAATGGCTCTTCCATTTGCCAGCTTGGATATGATGTATTTCACTAAAAGCTCATTATAAAGGGAAAAACCCAGCCATATAGAAGACAGAGAAGTGATTTTATTAGGAATTGTAGATACCTTTTAGAGAGGAATTTTAGATACCACTGCATTTTTATCAAATGTTCTTCCAATATTTTTAGATCCTTTGCAATATCTCTCTTCAAAATAAAAAAATCCTTTAAAAAAATTTAAATGGAGATGATGGTTAATCTCCTTGAGTGGTCTTTCATAATTTCAGTCCAGGCAATCTGTTCCTAAATTCCAACTCTCTCCTTTCATTTGTATGGGTGCAGTAAAAAAATGCAAATGAGAAAACAAAAACAGAATTTCGCCTTTGAGCAGAATGCCTCAAATTGCTGTGTTTTTATCCTAACCTCTTTGTCTCGGAATCTGTTTTGCTCTAAGGAACCTATGCATGAAAATCTGTATGGCCAGGGGTATACAATCACAAATTTGGGGGCCCTAGGACCTTCTGTGGCCCCCAAATTTGACTGTTGTTCCCAAAGTAGTGTTCCCCAAATAGATACTGAACTGTAATTTCCAAAGTGATGGAAGGAGAATATTTTTAAATACATAACAAACATGTTGACTGTATGAACTTTAATTTGAATTTAATTAAAATTAAATACATAAAATACCTTCTAGTGTCACTTATTTCCTGGAGCATCACTCCACAAAGTATTTGACAGTGATATGTGGACTTCAAAAATGTTTATATAAGTGCACCCTGATTCATAGTATAAACCCTATTCATACAAAACTGCCTCTAAAAGAGATGGATGGAATAAACATTTTAATAAACTTTAGAAAGGGAAACACCTGCATATTTTACCACTTTTTGAAAAAAAACAGCAACACAAAGCATTGTACTACAGGCAATATAGAGCTTCAAAAACATTTCTGAACTACAGGCAATATAGAGCTTCAAAAACATTGGTTTGTACAGAAAATCTTCCTTGAATATGTCAGGAATACAATGTAGAATCTTCCATTTCCAAAACATATATTTGATCCAAATGACACTCCATCTCTAAAGAGAGGGTCACACTTCCAATAGCTGTGATTATTTCACATAATCATGTGATTATTTCAATTCTTACATCAAGCAAGGTCCTTTAGATCAGAGACAGGCAGACCTTTGGATAATAGAATTACATTTAATTTGTAAGAATGGACAATTAATATATTGGCTGAAATGTTCATCCAAAGGAAAGGGCCCAGAAGGAATTTCAATAAAAAGGAAGTGTCTGTGGGTTTTTTAAAAATGTATCTATTCTAACATTAACACAATAGTTTTATTGTGTTTTTTTTATTTTCAAATGATAGGAATGTCACTTTTGATTTTCAGTAATTATTCATATTTGGGTAACTCAGAGACCTAGTTTAATATCATAAGGCTGGAGGGATCCTTGATGCTCTCTTAGCTTGCTTGTTTTCTTGTAGACATTTCATTACACAAAATAGATAACATCATCAGTGCTAATAAGGAGTGTACTTTGCTATCAGTTTATATCAGTATACTAGTAACTTGATTGTCAGTGTTGGTGGGGGTGGTCTTAGAGATTCTTTGGTTGGGCTGTTTACTGTTGGCTTCTTCGGCAGTTTCTTGATTGGGCTATTGTTTACTTGATTGTTGGTCTGATGTTATGGTGAAGACTTTATGAAATCATTACAAGAACTCACACATAACATATTATAAATCAGCTCTTCCTTACAAGTCAGCAATGATAATTAATACTCTATTTTAAAATCAGAGAGGAAACTATTCTGATCAGGAAAATTCCATTTGACCACTATTGGACTATATCATTAATCCTTGTTTCAATACACTGGAAGTAATTTGAGTCCATGCATGACCCCTGAAGGTCACAAAACAGCTGCTTCATTGAGGCTCAGCCCTGACAACCTTCCATAGGTTGTCTCTGCTGTTTGGCTTCATGGAATAGCTTGAAAGAGGCACATAAGAGCCAATAAAAGCAAAGCACTTCTTTGAGGATTGGCACAGATCTTCCAAATAATATTCATTCATTTATTAATGCATTTCATAACGATTCTGCCTTGTCTCTGAAAGCTTAAGGCAGGGCACAGGAAGGGACAATGGACTGACAGATGCAAAGTTGCCTAGTGCAGTTCATCATCTAACAGGGATCATGAATCTCCGTGCCCAACATTTAACACCTTAATTATAATTGTAGAGAATTTAAAGAAAATAAGAACTGTGTAATCTTTTTGGAGGGCAAGAACACAAATAGCTACATAGTTTAAACCTAAAATGCTTCTCTCTGTGGAGTGACATATTATGAAGAATGAGCCTATAAGCAGAAATCCTGGAAATTAAATCCCCAGAGACTGAGCTGTGAAAGAACCTTGTCTGAAATCCTGGAGATCTATGGTACTTGGTATACACAATACTGAATGATAAACTTCTAAGGAACACCATCATAACCATCATGTTTACTACTGTTTCCTTGGGAAATATGTTCCCCTCCTGGAACAAACTGTGGGCACACATTTCTCTACTGTAATGATCCACTTTTCAATCTAATATGGGCTATAGTGAGCTTGAGAATTTTGAAAAAGTATTATTATACAGCCACTGGAATGGGGGCCATGAATGATAAGTAGCAATTTTACTTCCCCAAAACTCAACCACATGATGAAACAAAAAGATAAATACTAATTTTGAACCATTCTTGGTCACCTGGCGTTGTTATGTTGTTCTTTTTAAAAATACATAAATAAATAACTACCTACAGCATTTAGTGGAATAGAGGGAGTTTGCCCAAAGGTGCTCACTGAGTGATTGCCCCATCAGGACTTCTTGTATGTTGGTCACGTGCAAAACTATAGACAGTCTGTCTCATAGAAGGTTGAACTGACATGTTCTCCATTCAGCCTTAAGTCTACAAAAAACCTTTTGGCATGAAACTTGCTGCTTCTTTTGTCAACCTCGTCCTGTCTCTGTTGTCTGTTCCTAGACATTACTAATCATTTTAGACTTCCCTCCAAGATAGTGGTCTCACAGCTTTTGTACACCTTGAGGCTGTCTTAGATGGTGTTTGTATAAAGGAGAAAACAGTACCTGCTGAATCTTAGTCGAGGTAAGGAAAACAATTTATGGTGGCCTCACTCATAGGTTAAGGACAAGATGAAAGCAATAGCTGGAGGCAAAGCAGAAAAAAATGTTGCTAGAACATACTTGTGCCATGGTTAAATGCAAGTGAGAACATGATTTCAGCAAGATGCTTGACAAAAGACAAAATGGTTCTGTTGGAACTTCAGTTGAAATGTTTTGCTCAATCTTTCTTAAATTTTATTGTACTCTTTAGGTGCCAACATGAGTAAGCATCCAATCATAGGTAAATCCTACATTACAGAAATCCAGTTACAAAAAGAGTGAAACTAACTAAAGATGGTAAGCAGAAGAAAATTTGTTTTTTTAATCTGCTAAAGAGATACTGTTCTAAGTGCTGAAGGGAGCTCTCAGATGAAGGGGAAATTGCTATGATAACAAGACTAATAAATATTTTGAATTGCACCCATGAATCACCAGCACATATCTATATCCACAGAGTGGCTGGTGCGAATCATAATCATATTGACACATTTTTCAAATTAACAAATGTTCTTGAAATTCTCTCTCTCTCTCTCTCTCTCTCTCTCTCTCTCTCTCTCTCTCTCTCTTGCCTTCTCCTACACCGCAGAGCCAAGACTTGCTCTGCAGGACAACTCCAAAGGAACGAAGCCGCTGAGCTTCTTCGCCTGTCCTCCTGCTCGCTCCGCAGCCAAAGGAAACCCGAGGCGTCCGCCTTCTAATGAGTACCCCGAAAGCTCCGAAGTAGCTTTTCTGCGACGGAAATTAGGACCCGACGGCGTGGTGGGGAGGAGTGGTGGTGAAGGAGCGTTTGTCGGGAAAGGAAATGTTGCTTTTTGACAGAGGCGAGAGATCCCCCGCGAGCTGGCCCTGAGAGGCGCCAAGTGAAGTCGGTCTCCTGGTGGTGAAGGACGGTAAAACAGAGAAGAGGAGGGAGAGAAAGAGGGAAGTCCCCAACCCCCCGCCTCCGCCACTCTTGCTCGTCGGGCAAGAAATCCCCCTTCGGAACCCTTTTCATCGTAGCCTACCAGAGCGAGTCCGTCCCGGCAGACTCTTTTTCTCTTTTTTCTCTTTTTCTCTCTTTCTTTTTCTCTATTTCCTTCTTTCCATTATTCTTCCTCTTCTTTTTCGTCCTCCTCCTTCTCCTTCTCCCCCCCTCCTCTTCCTTCACCTCCTCCTTCTCTGCCCCTCCCCTTCTATCTTCCCCTCCCTTCCCCTCCTTCGCTCTCTCCCTCCCTCCCGCTCCAGCGGTTGGGTTGCTTATCCTGGGAAGAAGAGTGGGGAGAAAAGCGATCCAGTATCCCTTCTTCGGGTCGAAGAGAGTCTCTGCAGGACTTGGATCCGCGTCGCTCAGGCCGGAAAACGTGGACGCCGCGGTTGCCTGAAGCTGGCAGGGGAGGAGGCTCCGACACCTTGCGCCGGGGGTGCCCAGACGCTCGCGCTCTTCAGCAGGAGGAGACGGTCGGAGGCTGGCGGTTTTGCTGCATTGATGCCGTCCAGGGAAGACCGGGGAACTGCACCGCCTTTTGCCTTCGGAGGCAGCGATTGGCCATTTGCGAAAGCTTCCTTCGCCCTGAGCCTGCCCGGCGTGATTTCGCCGCCTTCTGCTGGCTCGCCTCGTCCTGCCCTTCGCCCCTTTGCCACGCTCCAGGACAGGATCCCCGGCTCGTGGGCAGGAAAGATCACCTGTCGCTTTTAATCGGGGAGGGAGATCTAAGCAGGCGAGGGGGAGGGGACGGAGAGGAGAGGAGAGGAACGGACCGAGGGGCTGCCGGAGGGGATCTAGGATTGCTCAGCCACCCGGTATCTGGGACTGTGGAAGCGGCGGAGGCGATTCCCGGGGAAGGCAATTCAGCCGAGCAGCCGGGATTTAGAGGAGACGGCTGAGTTTGGGCTGGAGACGGAGAGCCTAGAATAGATGTGTGATTATTATTCGAGATTCGGGTCCCCCCCAGCGAGCAATTGGCACAACTTCGAGAGGGGGTTTTCCGCCGCCGCTCTGCTCGCGCCTCCCGCCTTTGCTCGCCCTCTCGCCTCCGGCTCCTTCAGTTTCGGTTTATGGACCGCTCACCCCATCTGGATATTGAAGAGCTCAAGGTACGTGCTCTCTTGGTCAGGGGCCGCGCAGGGAAACGGGCGGCTGGGTCGCGCTTGGTCGGCTTTTGCCTCCTTTCGGCTCCCCTTTTGGTTCCTTGGCCGGAAGGAGTTGGAGGCGCTTTCTGGCGTGGGGAGGGGGGGTCGGGATGTGGCGGGCAGGAAGGCGGGGGAGTCGCCGGAGACAGGACGCGAGCCCGCTCAGGCCCGCGATCCTCCGGGGGGAAAGCAAGAGGAAAAGAAGGCGGGGAGGGGGAAGTTGGTGGGAGGAAGAAGAGACCGCGAAGAGAGCCTTGGGGGGGGGGGCTCCATACCAGCGCCCCTCTTTCCTCTCCGGTTGCGCGGGCAATGGGTGCGATCCTAAAGGGACGCCGGAATCCAACGCCCTCAGCACTTCGGACAGCGCCTCGGGCTCCGAACGCGGGAGCTGCGGAAACGCCGGCGAGGTGGCTTCTCTCTCTGGGTTGGACTCTGAGGCTGCTGCTTTTTATCCCCCGCTCCACCCTTCCCCGCTCCGCGACGGAACGACCCTCCTCCCGCTCGCTGTCCCCTCGCCTAGCGGTTTCAAAAACCGCGCAGCGCCTTTCGGATGTCTCCCAAGAAAAGGCGTTATTCCGGGGATAAAGTGAGCGGCGACCGGCGTCGTTTCTTCCCGTCCCGAAGGGTGGATCTTGGGGTTCCCCTCCGTCGATCTCTTCCTTCCGAAAGTCAGTCTTCCTCCCAAGCGCACGCATGCAAGGCCGTTAGGAAGATCCAGCGGGCATTCAAGCTCAGCAGCCTTGGGATGCTATATCGAGACGCCACGATGCCATTCGGGGACAAGGAAAGGGCAGGTCAAACTTTGAATGGGGATCGCGGAGTGAAGATTTATTTTTCTTTTTTAAAAGTGTCCGCATCAGATGGCTCCTTCTTTTAGGTTCCGTCTTAAGGGGGAGGGGGGAGCTTAGAGCATGCGTGGGGTGAAGCTGCTGCTCCCCTCCCTTATTTTTAGAACATGTTCCCTACATCAAACGGAATGGGCTTTGGGGATCGAAGCAAGCAAGAAGGGAAGCCTGCGAGAACGTGCTACAGAAATGGCAGTGGGGGAGAGAAGGAAGAAGGGAGTTAGAATAAGGGAGTTAGAAAAGGAGCAGGCCATGAAAGTTGAAGGGTATAAGGCAAATATAAAGGGTCAGATGAGAGAAATAAGAAGGTAAAACTCAGAAGGGGGAGGGAAGTAAAAGGAGGGAAAAACTCAGAGCTCCAATGGGATTTCAAATAATCTTTATCAAAACAAATGGTTGAAAATGACTTCTGATATCTTGAACATTCTAAAACCTTTGTGAAAGAATAATCATCTTACTTTCTGGATTTCTTCATTCTCTATTTTTCCCCATTCTTTGTTTCCCTAAAGTTAAGTTGGAATTTAACTGCGAGTGGGTCATACTCCAATGGTATGTTTCCTCATTTTAATATTAACGTGTCCTCACATCAACTTTTAGTAGGCTGATCCTTGCACATGTCTTCAGAAGCCAACAAACAGTTTACTGAAACTTCCAACCATGAATCAAGGATACCTATAATCACTTAAGAATTGTACATCCCCTGCTGCGTACAGAGTATATTTTGTTTTAAAATCTGGAGGATGGGTTCTTAAAATGAGGGGTGCAGAGATTCCACCGTGGAAAGGACAGCCTTTTGCTGTTTGACAGATTCCTCATGATGTTTGACATTAAAGTTTGGTGTAAGGATGGTGCTTTAAGCAGAAAATACCACCTTCAGCATGGACCAAATGCTTATATAGAAATCTCAAAGTAGACTAGGTCTCACTGACACTTTTTCCCTGAAGCAGACACTTTTTCTAAAGAGCATAGGTGGAGAGAGAGAAGCTCCCATTAATCTTCTGATGAGCAGCTCTGCAATTAAGGCCATGCTTGCAGATGTTTTGGTGGGTGACCTTGAGATCAGCAGCTGGGATGAAAGGGACTCCTGGTGGTCTTCTTTGCTTTGGGTGCTTTCATCAGCATTTGCTAAGGTGAACTTTATCCTCCCAGAAAAGTGAGAGGAGAAGAGGAGAATGGAAGGGAATCTGGCTTCTGTTATCTTGAAATTAAAGACATCCTCATTTCATCTTTTAGGCAGGACTATCTTGCATATATCGGTGTACTAATATGAGAAATCTTCTCTGTGCAGGTCCACAGGATTGCTGCCTGTCCAAAGGTCAGAAAGAAATAATCCTGGTACAGGTTAGAACAGGGGTCCTCAAATTTGGGCAACTTTGAGACTTGTAGACTTCAACTCCCAGAATTCTCCTGGGAGTTCTCCTGGGAGTCTTCTTCTGGGAGTTCAAGTCACAAGTCTTAAAGTTGCCCAAGTTTTAAGACCTCTGGGTTAGAACAATGGAACGGTTGGTTTCCAACTGCTTTTAAAAATACATACTACCTTTTTGATCAGAGGGACCTTGCCCAAAGTATCTTTCCCAGAGATGGACATTATTCAGAGATACTTTTCTAGTACATCCTGAGTACAGTTTTGTACCTTGAAACTATTTTCTGCATTCTAACAATTACCCATAGAGGATGCTGTGGTGTATCTATGATACTTTTCTGTATTTAACCCTGGTAGTCTGTGCACACACATTTTGTAAGTTTTGTTCACCTCTCTGAAATGAATCTTTATGGCTGCAATCCTGCATCTCCTTATATTGGTGTGAGCTTCATGGAAGACAGTGAAAGTCACTTTCAAATAGAGGGTCAGGGCTGTATTGCAAGATGGATTAAAAGTGCAAGAAATTAGTTCAAACCACAGAAGACAAAAATTGCACATGCCAAATTTGCACATTACTGGGTTAACATTGCAAGAGTGATATAATTAGCATTTTTACTGTTATTTTACTATTAAACGTTGCTACTGCCTAAATTATTCAATCAAGGGATTGTTTGGTGTCTACATAGTAAGCACTACAATGTATGTAAGATTTCAGCTGTATGGCTGAAGAGAAGGAACAAGACACCTGGAAGGTACTCTCAGCTGGAGAAAGTAAACCTAATACCGCCAGTGATATTTCCTTTCACTAGCCACTTTTAGACTTATTTGATTTATTGCTGTTATTTTTTCCTTTCTAAATAGTAAATATACAAAGAAGGTACATAAACAATCTGTAAAAATCAAAGAAACAGAAATAGTTAAAATGCCAACAGCAACAAGGATATCTATAGGAACAAGTAATAATATCACAATACCTGAGATGAAAATATTATTGGTTAGATGAGGGACACGCTGGAATTGGTTTTGTATGAATTATTTTTCTTTATTACGTGAGCAGCCAGTGCAGAAAAAAAAGATCTACTTTGTCTGCAGAAGTTCAGCTCTGGGTTTTCAGCGGTAGAACAGAAAATTCAAAGAGGTTGCGGTATTCAGTGGCCCACTACATGTAAATGTATTACGTTTCTGTGATGCCCTGACAATGATTTAATCCATCCATATATTGGATCCATGCCTTCCATGTTTTATACTTGTGTGAGCTTAGTTTAGTTTTTATAATATACATTTCTTGGCTCTATTTTTAAAGACATAATAAAGAGTATTCGTAGATCAGACTGAAGTTTTATCAAGTCCAATGTGAATTAGATGGCTCCAAGCTCACAGGCAAACAAGTAACATTTATTATATGGACCCCTGTAACTGATAATACTTTGTGATTAGTCTCCAGAGCTCTGTCTCCTAATTATAATAGATAAACCTACCAAAAATAGGTAGTAGATGTACCCTGATCTTCATATAAAGCTATACTAGCTAATAGCCATCATCATCATCATCATCATCATCATCATCATCATCATCATCATCATCATCATCAATATAGGTTTGAGAAGCAAGTCCTCCAATTGAACTATACAGATAAATTCTTTCTATCTGCTCTGAATCAACTGTCAGTTTAATTCAGTGACACATCCCACTCTAGTGATATNCATATATATATATACATACATACATACACACACACACACACACCCTGTTTCCCTGAAAATAAGACCTTTCCAGATAATAAGCCCAAGTGGGTTTTTGAGCCATGCGCTAAAATAAGCCCCCCCCAAATAAGCCCTCCCCCCAAAATAAGCCCTCCCCCAAAATATTGCAACACAGCAGCAGCCATGAGGTGACTATGCTCGCCACTTCCTGCACCTCAAAAATAATAAGACCTCTCCAAAAATAAGGCGAAATGCTTATTTCAGGGGTCAAAAGAAAATAAGACCCTGTCTTATTTTCAGGAAAACATGGTATTCCTGATCCAGTTCAGATGCACTAAACTAAAAGTCTGATCTGATGCTTTGCTGTGAGCTTGTGTACTTTGAAAAAGTACCACCAGGTGCATCATACGTGGCTTTGTATGTACTGATCCCTTGCTCTGTGATAAGCCATGTGCCTTATTGAATTAGAGTGATAGTTCTCTGGAGGCTTTTATTCCAGCAAATCACTATATCTTCCTAGGAAGAGAGTGTGAATCAGAGGGACAGAAGGATGCTCCTCTGGCAGTTTTGGAGGGCTCTGCTGCCAACCTTTTGCAGCCTTAAGGGGAAGAGTAAATGCTTCTGTGCATGAATACACAAGGAAAATAAAACACTAATCCTTGCCTTTGCTTTGAGAGTAATTTGTCCTCTTTCAGGACTGACACTTCAACCTTCAATCTGAATTTGTACACTTTCATTTTAAAATGCCATGAATTTATGACCTTAAATTCTTTCTTAATTTTCTTTCCATCTGTTTGGGGTGAAAAGCCTGAATGGAAAACACCATATGCAATGTGTAGATATTCTGAATATATTTTTTATACTATGTGCAATGTTGAAAACATCTTTTAATATAGTAATTTTGTCTTAATTTTTATTTATTAGGTTATTGGATACTACCAGATTTTCACTTCATAAATGTATTTCAGCAATCAGTTTGATTCTGAACATCAGATCAGATTTGGCAAACTGCAGGTATTGGAGAACACATACATTCTGACTGTGATATTAATT